TGGCTGCCAAAAATCCAATTTTCAGCAAAAATGCAATTAAAAGCATTATGAATAATAAATATTTTGTTTGAATTTTACATTAGTAAACTATCTGAAAGGAAATCGTTAAATTTGATAACTTAGTGGTATGTTTTAAATAATTTTTTAATATTTCTCGACTAATATTTATATCTTCTAAGCTTGCAAGAAGTCTAAAAATTTTTAAAAATTTTGAAGAAACGTTTTCTATTAATAGAAGTCCGAAATCCCCTATTTATTCACACAAATGTTTATTCGTATGGCGGCGTGTAATTGTTACTCGAATTTCTATCCATTTGACAAATGAAATGATGACTATTCTCGCAGAAATCATCGTCCCACTTCAAAGAGTTCTCCAGCAATTTCACACAATGCTGACCGCCCATGAAATTATCGGGTCGACCCATCGCCCAGTTTGTATAACTAAATTTGGAACCATTGTAACCCCAACGGAAGTTCTGTAAGTCGGCTAACTTATTGCCAGAAGTCCAGAAATCGCTGCTCTCCAGATCTGCGAAAGCATAAAACGAATACGGAAAAGCGCAGAAAATAATACAAAAAAATACTCACTAAAATAATTTATATAATTTTGCACTTGAAATTGCTCCGCTGCAGATTCAATGCTGACCAGCGACCAACCATTTTGCTCGCAGAAAGCATAAGCCGCAAACCAGTTGAGCTGTGCAGACGGTTAAAGTGCGAATCTGGTGATYACTAAGGATTTTTTAAGATTTAAATGGAAATACCTTGATGAGAGTGACAATGTATTTGCGCTGCGGAGAAAAGGGTGTGTCATGACTGACGATTAGCTGCCCGGAAATATCTCCTGTGGTCGCATTTTCTTCGTACGTCCAATCGTCTTTTGAAAGCTTATAAGATTCTGAAGTTGCTGATTGCGAAGAAACTCTAGTTAGCAGCAGAAGTGTGATTGCAGGCAACAGGAATATTTTTTTCGAAAATAACATTTTGTCACTTTGAGAAAGAAGTCTGAACTGTGTGGGGTTTAGAAAATGACGGGGCTTTTATAACGAAATCTGCTCCAAAACTCGAAAATATATTTAAGAAAGTATATKCGAAATATATAACCCTATATATGTATACAAATAAAGTTGGTTAAATTATTGTAGCCAGGGCTTAGTTTTCACTTAACTTTGCCATAAACATTTCACTTTATGAGCATCATACACAAAGTAACGGAAAATTCTAATTCTTTACAAATTAGTTGATAAAGAGTATAAATAATATACACAYACTTAGGATTTTTTTAAATATAATATTAATGTAATGTTGTATATATAGACCCTTGAGGGAAACGAAGTTCATATTAAGTCTAAGTTTTTGAAATTGCAATTTTTCTCGCATAACCATTACTATTATTTCACTGAATTTTTGTGGCATATGAAATGTATAAATGCTTCATATTAAAAAAAAAAAAAATACTCATAAGAATATTCTTAAACACAAATCTACGAACAAATACATATATGACATTCAAATGCAAGTTCATGGGCACCCATGAAGGTGGCGCTTTGTGGAATGCAATCCACTTGAAAGCATTGCAGAAAATCGAACCACAGATGGCGCACGACAAGCAGCTGTCGATAAAGCAGTGCACAAAACTACAGTTAATTGCAAGTGAGAAGTGGTAAGGGGAAACTCTTTCTACAAAATCTACTTKTAGTTGCGTATGTGTGTTAGCAAAAATTTTAACTTCAATGCTATTTTTAGAAAGTCCCGTTMGATTTTCAGAAAAAACTGGTTTGCCATTAAGAAAGTTTAAACTTTTTGGAGAGAGAATTTGTTAAGTTATTGCCTTTTTAACATAAGTAATTTTTTGCCAAGGGGGGAAAACAATGTGTAGAAAGTAAAAAAAAAAAATTATGAATAGTAGAAAAAAATAAATATGAGCCTAAGCGGCAAACATTTTATAAAAATCGATATTTTTTATATTTCGAGAGGTTTATACCCTTACAAATAACGTATTACAATGCATTCAGTGCAATGAACTGATAGTTTAGTTTACTCAGTTTATCCCTAAACKTTTTTCTCAAAACTGGGTTTTTAACAATGACTTAAGAGGCTGATAGAGGACAGATATACTTAAAATGTTAAGTTGTAATTGCATAATCCTTTTCAATAAAATAATAATAATAAAGAATATCATTTGAGTGTTATGCATTTTTTGCGCGAAGCTATTTCTAAAAATAGGTCGGAATTATGGGCCGGAGGCTCTTGTTTTTTGCACCACGTTAATGCACCGTCTCATAATGGATCGATTCTTCATAAGTTTTCGCCAAATTTTCAACCAATATCRTTATGCAAGTATCTCATTCGCCTGATTTAGCTCCTTGTGATTTCTGACTATTCAACAACYTCTAACGACCGATCCGCGAACATTAATGGTGAATCACTACGCACATTGAGGGATGTTCCGGAAATTGAATTTAATAACTCGAGGATTGGAAAAAACATTGGATTTCTCTTAGTTCTATGATCATTGTACTTTTTAGCTCCCGGTTATCTTTATATCGTCTTATACTTTAAGGTGCGCTGGCAAATTTACACTCAGTAAGTATAAAATAATTGAATGCCAATAATTAGTAGAATCGATCCAGATCTTTTCCTCATTCTCATACTTCCATTATATTTAGACTTTCATAGCTTCTATTATAGCTTCTCTATAAATTGTTTAAAAAGAAGCAATATGCATTTCCTAGTCTGTCACGAAATATAAATTAGAAAAATAAGCGGTATTTTAGACGTATATTCCATTTGGAAGCCGTTTCATTTCATTTTCGTCATAAACTGAGTATTTGCGCAACTGAAACTAAAATGAAATATTATTATCTAACCTTTTATACATTTGCAACGAAGTATAGTAGTTTTGTTCACTTAACAGTTGTTTGTATCAGATAAAAATAATCGAATTGTATACAACACAATCAACACAATGTACAATGTACATATATTTATATCTTTATATTTATATATGGTCAGTAACTAGAATAAAAATTAAGATATCTTAATGAAGATCAGCACTAGTTAGCTTCCGAAATAAGTGAGAGCATGTACGCTAATGGTCACATTCGGACTACAGCTGCACCCACAATACGCCATTAAAGGAAAMCCTACAAGGTGCCACAACTAAGCGATAAATTGAGATCCCGCACAGAGAAACGCAGTAGCAAGAGGTACATGAGAGCAAAAAATTTTGAAAAAGACTGTGTTGCCCCGTTCTCTAAAAGGTTTAACGTGCACATCTCCTAGACMACTAAAATTAAAACAGTTAAATTCACTCAGGATAAATTCCCTTTCCGACAACGCAAAAATTGATGGATGGACTGGATGATAACGCTGCCCATTCCCACATAATGGTATTGTAAAAACTTGGACTTCTTTAGGTGAAAGCACATTTCTCGGGATTTGCTTGACCGATTTCAACAAATTTCGATATATAACATTCCTTTGGCATCCCTATGTTATAATTTGAATATAAGCCGAATCGAGGCACGCCACTTCTTATAGAACAGTTTTAAATTTCATATAAATAAATTAAGTTTTGCACAAATAGTGTCTTTACGTATGTCACATAATGACTAAAAATTSTCCAAATCGCAAAAAACTGTTCAAGCCACCAGGTACTAAATGTGTGGACCCCACTGGATATATTTGACTTTTCACCGAAAATATCGAAAGATGCGTGAGATATGTAATTGAGATTTGGAGAGAATTCTCTGGAGCCCGTAGTGCTAAACTGAAAACGTAACACAGGGAGTGCCTTGTGCGAACTTTAAATGGAAGATACTTGTTTTTTAGCCAAAAAATTTCATTATAATTTGATCGATTTTTTTTTGCGAGACAATTTGGAGTTACTGACATCTTGTTTGAATAATATTCTTGAAGGTTTACACTCACATAACTTTTTAAAAGTTTTGAAAATTATTTCTGCTTTTTGAAACTCTTAAAAAAAGTCATCAAAGCCGGATGTGTTCTGAATTTTTTTTTCCATATTAATAATAAAAGATGATTATTTATTAATTTTCCATTCAGGACGACAATTTTAAAAGGTAGTTGTGAAACTTTCAGCAATTAATCATCAATATGTCCCTCAAATGTCTGAAGAGGCAGCCGTGCTTTCAATCAAAGTATCCATAAATAAAAATAAAATATTTTTCACAGATAATTCTCGACAATTCCCAGCAAACACAACAACAACAACCAAAACATAACGCGTACTCCGAGGTGATAAGCTCTAATAGTTAATTAAAAATAAACACAAACACTAACAACAATAAAAAAACTAATAAAATCCAAAGCAATCAAATATCTAGATTAGTGATTTTGCTTGTCAAAATTGACATTACGCGTAGATACCGCGTCTCAACGCGTGATTGAAGGCTTTGATATTGAGCGACTTATCAGCACCCCATATTTAGCGTCAGAAAACCGTCTGCAGGGCATTATCATCAGACACGCACGTTAGCCGGGCTACTTTCATATATAAACAAAAAATTTGCTWAACTGACCAGCAACGTTCACAACGACGGTAGTGTTGTAAAGAAGCTAGAGCAAAGCGCAATTATCTCCAATATGCAAAAACAACAATCGATTTGGTGAGTTAATTTTCATGATTTTGCTATTATTCCTTATTTATTTAT